TCTGCGACGAGGTTTTTTTTTGCGATTGCATCGAGCAAAAGTAGAAAACCTCCCCTCCTGCTTCCTCTCCCTTCTCTCTTTCTCTCTCTCTCTCGTCTTGTAGCTCGAGTCACCCCTCGATTCGCCTCGAGCGTGCAGCTAAACGCAATGGTAAACGTGAAGGGCAACCGGTTGGAGAAGGGCGGTGTGTCGAGGCCGTTTCGTAATTGGGAGATTATTAAACTGTCTCCCTGGTCTCCGACGTCCGTCATTTCTCTTCTTTAATTTCCTTTCTTTCTTTCTTTTCGCGCGTATATCTTTTCCTTTCCTTCCTATCTCTCTTTCTCTCGCACAATGGAGAGCCATGCCGTGCAGCGGCGTCGCGGCATTTCGTTAATTGAAACGGGCGTTTATCAATCGGGAAGATGAAGGCCACGCCCGGAAACCACTACGCTACGACCATTGCCACAATCTTGATCCCGGAAGGCGTGATACTATGGAGGTCTACTCGGTTAATTGAGATGGAATCGCGCCGTTTTCAATAGGGATCTCCACCTAGGAACGGCCGCTCGTTACGCTTCTTACGACCGTGTAACCGGGCTGCGTTTGATTCCGAGATTGGGGGAGGTTAGGGAAGGGTGGTGGGTGGCATTCAAACGAGGAAAGTTTTTTTCATTCGCCCAATTTCGACCGGGCCGCCTCGACGAACATCGTCATCGAAATCGAGGTATATACTATACCTCTACTACCTCTCCCCCCTGCCCCTCTTCGATCTCGTTTAGTTTATTCTTGCTAAAAGCACTTCCGATTAATCCGTTCCGACCCACCTTGCAAGCTTTTTCGTTCCGCGGCCATCGAACTAAAGCGCTTCGACCTTTTAATGTGGCTTATTTTACAGCGAGTAAAATGCCTCGCTGTAAAATCCGCTTTCCGCGAGATCGGCGTTTAAAGCGTTCCACTCCGTTCCATGACTTCGCTATTTACAATCGTGCAACGGGATGATAAAAATTTTCTTTCTCCTTCTCTTTATCTTTTTTTTCTTTTTCCAATAATCATCCATCAAAGACCACAGGAAAGAGACTCGTCGAGTGTATTTCTTCGATCGAGTCCAGGGGAGGGGGGAGGAGGTGCCATCGACGAGAAGGTGGAAGGAAGAAAGGAAGGAAGGAAGGAAGGAAGGAAATGCTGTCGGTTTTTCAAGATCCTCTCGTCAGCCTCTTCGTCGACCCTTTTACATCCACTCATCTCCGTCGTGGTAGTCTTTGCCAGTCGTTCCATGGACAAGAACCGGTCCTCGAACCGCTCGAAACCGAAAGCTATACGTATATATAACGCCATACGAATCGCGCGATTGCCAACGGATCTCGCGNCCGCTCTTCCGTTATTATTACCCCTACGATTTTAACCGGTCGCCTGGGCCACTCGAGTGGAGAGGGAAAGTTGAGCCGAGAGGTGAATCGAAGAAGAAAAAAAAGACGAAGAAGGAGAGGAGGAGAAGAAGAGGAGACCGTGTTGTCCGTGTTTCGCCCCAGGAAAGTCGGGGACCCGCGTAATCCAGCGTTCGTCGAATACGGCGTAATCGGGGCTCGTTTGAATTTAAAATGCGCTTCCCGGTGAATGTTTTCCTCTTTCTCCAGGAACGCACGCCAAAAGGACCAACGAGCTATTTGCCAGCGGCGAATGAGAAAAGCAGAGGATCGAAGGGGGGCGAAAGGAAGGGAGAGGAGATGGTGGAAGCCGGCCGAAGCTTTCGACGTTCCCTTC